ACGGTCTGCCATAGAGGCAGCCCTGGAGGACATGGGTTATAAGCCTCCTGGGTTCCAGGGCTCCCGGAGTTGGATCGGCTGTGTAGAAGCCAGCCTCTGCCTGGACTACTTCGGAGGGCCCCAGGGGCGCCTATGCCATGTGCCCCGTGGAACAGGGCTTCAAGGGGAATTAGAGAGGCTTTACTCCCACTTCACAGGGGGTGGAGGTCCAGTGATGGTGGGAGGAGATGCAGATGCCCAGTCCAAGGCCTTGCTGGGAGTCTGCTTGGGGCCAGGTACCGAAGCCTACGTCCTGGTATTGGACCCTCACTACTGGGGAACTCCAAAAAACCCCAGTGAACTACAGGCTGCTGGGTGGGTGAGCTGGAGGGAGGTGAGCACAGCCTTTGACCCTAACTCCTTCTACAACCTGTGTTTGACCAACCCTAACTCTGAAAAGCAGCAGCAGCCCTGGACTGAGGGGTCCCAGAACTGAGACTCTTGCTTCCATACATGTGCCTCTACTTACCTCTTAAAAGTGTCCCAGCAGAGCCTGGGGCCTTTGGCATCAATAAAATGGCAAGGCCCAGCTAACCATGGCCCTAGCTATTATTTGGGAGGATCTGGGGAAGTATAAAACACACCGAGTTCATTCACTGTGGAAGTGCTTCTATTGGCAGTAAGGCTGAACATACAAAAATTCTCAGAGCTGGATGGGACAAGGCAGTCACATATAGATGACACCAAGAGTGGGGAAAGTGGGTGGCTCAAAAGAAATCAACATCATCTGGAGCATCCAGGTCACGATATTCAACAATGGCCCTTGGGTCTCCACGAACCAACCTGTGAGATAAGAGAGGCTTGAGAGTTAAAGGTCTCTGAAACAGAGTTTGGAGGAGGAATGAAAGCTTAGACATCTTAGCTCCTCACCTGCTGCGAGGTTTCCCAGGATAACCTCCCTGGCCTCGAAAGGCATCATAGTTCCCCCGGCCAGCACCATACGGAGCATGGGGATATGGAGGCCCGCCAGTGGGGACTGCGGGGCGGACAGCACCAGCTATGAACAAGATCAGTTGAGTTTAAAAATGAGGACCTTTATTATACCCCAGCTAAGTTTTATTTTTCCAACCACACACAACCACCAAAGCCTTTCGTCTTTCTCCTATGCTTACCTCCATAGCCCAAGATGGGGGGCCGGGGCTGACCATAGGGCATCAGGCCCTGGGGAGTCTGGTGTGGGTAGGGGAGTCCCGGGGTCAGGCCTGGGGGGAGTACAACACGGACAGGCACGTGAATTACTGCGGGAGGAGGGGAGAAGAGATAACTAACTTCTAGAAATATGGCCGGAGGATAGAATAGAAACTTCTCAGGGTATGGGATATTAGAGAGGAACCAGAGTCCCTGGGTTGTCAAGGGAGAGGGAATGCGGCAGACCCTCATGGATCGTATCTTACTCTGGGCAGGGCCAGGTGGCTGAGCTGGCTTGATCTCAGGCAGAGCCGGGCGCTTAGCATCAGTGAGGAAGTTGTTGAAAAATGCCACCTCCTTCTTTACTTCCTCAATCTTCTCTGCATGCTTGTTGAAGATATGTTTGCGTACAAACTCAGGACCCTGAGGGAAAAGACGAGGGTCAGGACAAATGATGTGGGTTCTTCATTCCCAGACCCAACCTGAAAGGATAACCGACCTCCCTCGTGCCAGTCCGATGAGCAGTTCCACACCACAACTTTAGAGGGCCCTCCTGCCTCCCACCATTCTAAGCAGGCAATCCTCTGACAATCCCAGACCTTGAATTTCTTGCCACTGAGAGGACAAAGCCACTTATCCTTGCCCAGTTCCTGGGTGTTAGAAGTGACAAACTTTTCCACTTCCTGTTCAGGGTCTTTCCGCCCCATTTTCTGGGCTTCTTCCTCTGAGAGAGATTCCCGCACACTCAGCAATGGAGTCAGCTTCTCCTCGAACGTCTTTTGCCACTCCAGCACTGTGTTTAGAACAGAAAGAAGGCAGTTGGAGAAAGGAGTTCAAAGCAAGAAATAGGAGGGAACTGGAAGAGACAGTGGCAGAGCATGCTACTAAAGGAGAACTAAGACCAAAAGCAGCTGGGGAGAAAAGAAATCCACAGGGAATAGGGATCCTAGAGCTCACCCTCTCCATGACTGATACGGTTGGGAGGCATGGGCCCCCGAACATGGATGATGCCACAACGATTAGGCATTTCATCCTCATTAGGGTACTCGCAGGTGTTATAATAATCCAGGGAATGCACAATGCGCAAATAGAGAAGGAGTTTGTCTAAAACCTAAGGGAAAAGAAAAGTCCTTTTGAGTTCACCACTCTTGCCCCTATAATGCCTCAAGCTACTCTCCATGCCTGACGCCCTGCTGTAGCTGGCACCTTGATCAGTTTTTCATCCCGCTCCACGTTGATCTCTGCTGGGTTCCCTTCCTTGGGTGGCTCCTCAGGGGGGGCTCCCCCACTGCTCCCCAGCAGCTCCTCTTCCTCAGCACTTACTTCCTCGATCAGGTAGTCAGTGATATTCTTCAAGATTGGGTTTTGTGAGGGCAGACTCTGGTAGAGAGAGAAAAAAGGAGAAAGTAACCTAAGAACTTTCGCATATGAAAAAGTTATGTGAGGTGACAGAGAGAGCAGTTCAGGGCTCTAATGACCCATTACCTTTGCCTACCTTAGTATTTTTCTGCAGTTCTGTATTTGTTCTACCCTATCCCTTAAGTACCTACTAACATCAATCTGTTCCACTGGAAGTCAGGGGAGGTACTACCCAGACAAGGAGGGGCAAAGGGTACAAGGGTCAAAGGTACAAGTGAAGTGAGGGCAGGCGCCCACAGCATGTCTTAAGGGAAGTCACTGACTGTTGGCAGAGGAGGTGTCCCAGGCTCAGAGGCCCAGAGCTGGGTCCTGTCATCCAGCGTGTGGATTAGCTTGGCTGCTAGCTTGATGTCATTGCGCACGATCTGCTTGTGTTGCGTAATGCCATTGATGTTGCGGACACGACGGGTCAAGTCTCTATTCACACCAGGGCTCAGCTCACATTCCCGAAGCTGAAGGAAACATGTCATCAGAAAGCATACCAACCCTTGCCCAATAAGCAGCAGCTAAGAGACGAGCCCCTACTGAGAACACTGGACTGTGCACTTCCTGTGGACAGGTATCAGACATGCCTTGTCTATGACAACAGCCAAGAGTCTAGCCTAGATAAGCGCAGCATACCGAATGGGTGAAAGAAGGCACAGAAAGAATGGATCAGTGAATGAACAGAGGAGCTGACTTGGATGGGGCACGGAGGGCCACATGCTTCCTCAAGATAGGCCCAACCCCAGCACTCACTCGGATATTCTGCAGGTTCCAACAGATCTCTTTAATGTTAACACTGCGGTCGAAGGTTACCCAGCCACGACGGAAAAACCTACACAAAAAGGAAGTGTCAGCACCATCCTGGGATGGAGATGGTGGTGGCCATTAACCTGCACCCACACCTTTTCTTCAAGGTATTCAGTTCTCACCTCCTCTCAGGCTGGGGCTCCGATAGTGCCACACGCATAAAGCCTGGGTATCTTTTACAAAGCTGCAAAATACAGAAGGACCATTTACTGATTCGAGGACTCAATGTTTCCTTCAGTCCCCATTGTCCTCAGAACCCTAGAGAACTGCTTTTTAATCCTTCTCATTTCAGAGAAAGAAAGAAAAAAAGTAACAGAAAGCTTAAGAATTCAGGGCCAGCAAGTAGCATGGTGTTTAGGGGTGCTGGACTCCCACATGGCCGACTGCAGTTCAAGTCCCAGACCTGGTGGCTTGCTTTCTCACTTCCTCTCTCTCTGTCCCTCTCTGGTCAAATTTAAATAAATAAATAAGGTTAAATGAAACAATTTAAAAAACAAATAAATAAAAGCCAGCTTTTGAAAGCAAAGGTATAATCAGGACCAGCCCCACAAGTGCATGGGCCCAAGGGAAGGGGCCGTTCCCAGTAAGAGAAACAATGATATGTGCCAGATTGCCTTCTCTACATCTTCTATCCCAAAGAAACAGAGCCTAGATGTCACCCTTGCTCCCTACACCATTATTCCCCACTCACAGAAATGATCTCAGCCCGGGAGATGTTAGGTGCGATATTGCGCATGAAGAGAGAGCAAGTCTTATGCAAGGGCCGGGGCTTACATTCCGGCCCTGCAGTGTCCTTGGGCTTCTCTCTTTCTTCTTCCTTGGGCTTTTCCTTTTCCTTGTGTGCTTCTTCTATACAAGAAGTGGTAGAAATTAGTAAATCTTTATTATTTGGTGGGGAAGACAGAAAAGTTATTCCTATCCCCCAACAGAAATGCCTCCCTCCCATCAATTTCACCAGCCTCTCCCATCTCCATGTAGTAGAAAGAGAATGGACTAGATGCAAAAAATAAAACCTACCAGCCTCCTCTTTCTCCTCCTCAGCTTGGCCACTCTCAGACTCAGACTCAGACTCAGACACACTGCCTTCATCAAAGCTGTCATCACCACTGTGTTTCCTATTCCGCTTCTTGCTACTCTGTGAGAGCCACAACAGAGAGAGTGGGTAAGATAACCAGGACTCCAGTCTAGACATTCTGACTCCATGTAAAAGATCTTACCTTTTTAGCTTCTTTCTCAGAGTCTTCTTTCTTCTCTTCCTTGTCTCCATCACCCTCAGATTTCTTAGTTTTGTCATCATTAGAACTGTCATTTTCAGCCTACAAGTAGAGACAAGCACTGAGGATATCAAATCCTTTATTAAGGACCCTTTCTGGGACCAGCAGTTAGCATAATGGCTATGTCGCTGAACTCCCATGTAGTTGACCGTGTTTTGAGTCCCGGACCCGGTGGCTTAAACTCATGCCGGGAGTGTGTGCATGCGTGCCCAAGATCCCAACAGAATGGAGAAGGGACTGCAGTGTGGCCATCCCCCCGGGGGATGATTTCTCGCTTTCTATCTCTCTGTCTCTCTTTCTGGCAAGCGCATGCGCCCTATAGTAAAAACCTCTCTTAAAAAAAAAAAAAAAAAAAGACCCTTTCCAACCCTCCACAAGTGAGCTCAGTTCATCCTTCCACTTCACCCAATCCACTACCTTCCCCTGAAGGTAAAGCTCCTTTAGACCACACCACAACCAAATACACTCCACTTTCCCTCTCACCAGGCCCCCAGAGGTGGCACTTGGAGGCCCTATCACTCAAACCTGTTTGCCATCTTCTTTCTTGTCGTCTTTGTCATTGGCCTTGCGCTCGCCATCTCCCAGGCCTGGTCCAACCCGGCCTTCCTCTTTCTTGCTGGGCTCCCCAGGTTTTCCTGCCTGTTCCTCCTCCTCCTCTTGCTCTAGGATACGTAGATCATTTTCTGTGCCTCCTTCCATCTTAATCACAGCTGTCAACAAAAAGAGGAGAGGTCACAATCCAAAGGCCCCATCGGCAGATATCCTCCCACCACGAGGCCCAGATATCTGTGACCACTCTAAATCTATGCACCTGCATCCAGCATCTTGACAATGCCATCAGCTTTGTCTATGTCCAGAAGAAGATTATCAAACCAGCCACTTTCCATAAGGGATAGAAATACCCTCAGCCGGTTTTGCAGGGCCCCCCGGGCCTCCTGCCGACGCTTCCCCACCTCATCTGGGTGGTACTTAGACCGAAACCTGGGAAGGAAAAGGGGAGGGAAAAACAAAGTCAGTTACTGGAGGCCAGAAGCAGGATGTGAGAAGGGGCCCAAGAAAGTTAGGGCACAGTCCCCATCCTCACACCCACAAAAGGTCATAAAAGCAGAGATCAGGGGAGAGGGGTGCACTAGAACCACCCAACACCCCAAAAAGAACCAGAGATTGTGCTCTGAAAAGATCTGGAGGGAGAACCAAGAACTGAGAGCTCTGGATTTGGGAAAACCAATGACTATAGGGGGAGGCCAAGGTTGGAGAGGTAGATTTAGCACCCTAAGTCTCTGGGAAACACTAATTTAAAAAGGTGTAGTTTCCCAAAGCTTTGGAGAAGAAGGCAAAATAGTAGACCCAAAGAAACTCCCTCTCCCTGCCAACCCCAAACTACAGTCATTAAAAGAACTGTTTGTTCCCACCAACTCCCTCCACCCCTAGGTGGAAGACAGAAGGAGACCTGAAATGCACCAGGATAGGAAAAGCCAATAGGCAGGACACCTTTCTCCCCCCCCTCAGGAAGATAAGCAAGATGTAAAAAGGGACAGGGAAGACAAGGGGGAAAACAGAATTGCCCGTATAGCTTCAGGTACTGCCCAAGGGGAGAGAGAAAGGAGTGGGCTAGAGGGCCAGGGTAGAGCACGAAAAACATTTCAAATAGAACCTCAGGGCAGGGGAAAACAAGAAATTAATAGTATGAGAATAGGTTTTAAACACAAGAAGAAAAGGGAAAAAAATAAAGCATACAAGAGGAGAAAGGGAAGAAAGGGGAAAGTGTTAGAAAGTCCCAGAAATAAAAAAGGGGGAAAAGAAAGACCAGACAGACAAGCTGGAAGAGAGAGAGAGAGAGAGAAGTGTTAGGGAGCAATAACAGGGATAAAGAATGAAAGGCACACAGGAGATTTAGACAAGACACACAGAAAAATTAGAAAGAGGGGACAGCAAAGACAGAACAGAACCACAAGTTGAGCGTAAGAGGAAAGGAAAGCCGCAGGCATCACCTCCAGGATCTTTACCTTGGCCGCTTGGTCAAACAGAGCTCAAGACTTAACTAGCGGCGCCCAGGGCCCATGCTGGCTGGTGGGCCACCGCTGGCTCCTGGCTGGGGCGCCCGGCCCAGATGCCCCTCCCCCGCGGGACTCCGCGGTGGGGGCCCTGACTGACTAACTGCCTGAGCAATCACATTCAGCTAAACTGCTGCATTGTGCACAGCAGTGCCCTGTCTGTCTGCCTGGCCGGGGCAGCGCGGCTCAGCCCAGGGGCTCATGTATGGGCTGGGTATGGTGGGGGTGGAGGTGGGTTTGCTCCGAGCTCCGTCGATGAGCGGGTGTAGTTCCCAGTTCTGGCTCTTTTCAAGGAGGAGGAGCAGAAAGAGGATGAGGAGGAGGAGGAGCAGGAAGGGGGGAAAAGATGGTTGATTAAAATTAAAACATCCACAAAAGGAAAAAAAATTAAAATTCTTTTTCTGTCAAACGACCCTGAGATCTTTGCTTTTCTTGTCTGGATTCGTCGCTTTTGGGAGGATGCCACAGCCACACAGGGTCCTGGCGATCAGGGATGACAATGACCCAATACCAGCAAGTGGGAAGCAGTCTGTCTGCTGCCCCAAGGGTCCAGGTGGCTCTGGCCAGCTGCCTGGAGGTGTCCCACTCACTGAGGACAGCGGGGAAGGGAGATGGGGCAGTCACTGAAGTGAGGAGACCCCATCAGCCAATGCTGTTATACTTCCCTCCCCCACCCCCTGGGAAGTTCCAGATGGGGAAATGGGAAGAGGACAAGTCTGCAGCTCCACTGGCAGGGCCAGGGGAAACACGTCAGGGAAGAAGCAGCAGGGAAATAGGGGCACTCACCACTCCTCATCTTTATGAGCCAGGAAGAAATCCTGCATCTGCTGCCTTCGAAAATCTAGCTTGTAGTCATTGTACCGCTTCACCGCCTCTGTC